ATTGTTGGGGGCAATATGCTGACTCTCTGTAAACCGCTTAGAGAGGCCTGAAAGGCCTATGAAGCGGTATATAAGTCTACTGCTATGAGGGGAAATAACTATCCCTGTGTCTAGCTGTTTTGGCATGCAGTGCCCTATAGCAGCATCCTGAGGGGAGAAGTTGAAACAGTTTATGTCAGGATGTGAAGTGTCTAGATATTTTCTGTTTTTATGTAATGCCCAGGGACCCCAGCAGGCTCCCTGGCACATTTGAGGGTAGCGGAGAAAGTTCCTGATTAGACTATTCACATCTGGACTCTGAAAGAAATTTTCTTCGGAGAAACCTCTGGAAACCTCTGTGCAGAATTCAAGTGCAAGGCTTTAGCTGGTCCCTGCAAGTTATATTACCCAGTGTGACTTAGACTTTATCTCAGTAGGTGGCAGTACTTTGCAAACCTCCAGGACTCAAAAGTCAAGCAGGGTTGGACCCTATTGCTGTCTGAATGTCAAAACACCAGGAATGAGAGGGCTGTAGACTAAATGGGAAAATATCCTGGAAGTTTATGGCAAATTCTTTTGTTCTGTTCCCAAGAAAATGACATGGACAAGTTCATGTAATCACAGGAATCAAGCATGACTGGAGGTATTTTTCTTCCTTTTAATGTCCTCACTTCTTACAGATTTTACCCATTTGTTATAAGGTTAAATTCAAATCAATAGGTTTGATCTTTAAAGGCCAACTCGAATGGCCTTAGGGGGAGGAAAAAAAATCAAACTTGGCTGAGTATTGTGGCTATTTGGATGATAGATCACCCAGGAATATTGGAAAGCTTTTATAAAAATCCAGGAAAAAAGCAATGCTCAACTATTCGCATGTTGTGGTTAATAAACTACATATTGATAGTAGTAGGAGTTGAGTTTAAACTGGGATCCAAGTTGTTTCACAATAAACTTTCCCATTTCTCATATACACTGATCCAGGAACTAGGATTGACTTCTTGGAGCTTTCTGATCTACTACTGCTAAATGGTGGATAGCTTTTCTGGAATAGCATCCCTGGAAATGTTTGCCTGCTTCTTTTGGCCTGCTTCTATATATATTATTATTTCATTTTGCTAGTTGCCATGACCCTACATTTATTTAATAAATATTGGAAGTAACATAACAGAAATAAAATAACATAAATCCAGTTAGTTATGTTAAAAATTCAGGACAACTGGGGAGTTTTCTAGCTGGACAATAGGCATATATGTCTGGATAATTAGGACGGTAAACTGGTCATGGAAAAAAGTTCAATTTTTTTTCCAAAACATGCAGCTTGTATCTGCCTTTGAAATACAATAACTTTGCATATCCATTCTACAAAAATACATCTGTCCTACCTTTTTGCAACGTTAAAAACTCTCCTAAATTACAACTAAAATTACATTCAGAATAAATTGTTTAGGGTTAATTAGGAAAAAATGGTAAGAGTGCAGTTCTAATTCCTTGTTTCTGATGATAGAGGATATAGGATTTTCCTGTTTTCAGGGTAGAAATCAGAGGAGCTCCCTGCATTGGAGGGCCCTCTTGTGCCTAGGTGCTTGAAATACACAGAACAAGGAATATTATAGGTAATCAATGCACTGTAGTGAATTTGGCTCTCCACCCCCCTGCTTATTGTGACCGAATGTGGCTCAGCTAAGATCCTTTGCTGGTCTTCCCCAACCCAGTACTCTCCAGATATAGTGTGAATACACTTCCAATATTTTAAATACCATATGAGGGTAAAGGATATGGTCTGCCAAAATGAAAAATTTGAGAAACATAAATTTTCTCAGTATTTTGTGCATATCTTTGTAACGTTCACTTTATACTATACCTTTATAAGAAGGTTCTAGTAATCTAAAACTTGGTGGAAACAAAAGCTCCACTGTGCAAACTCTGTATTGTGTTTTCAGTTACTATTAATGTAGATTATATGGTCGTATTGTATCTGGTATGTTTTGAAACTGCTATGTGGATTTCTAAATTTTCCTTTTACTAAAGAGAATACTTCAAAATTTTATCAACATAGTTATTTTTCATGACCAAAGATATTAGTATGCAATGATAAAAAGCAAAAACCCAAATGCATTGGGCAATTTTTATTGGACCAAGTTGATTTGAAAAACAAGAGTTGCTATTGTCGAGAACTTGTAATGACAGTGGATTTCTCTCCCCCGCAATTAATTTAGTAGGCTTTACAGTATGCCGTTATAGTGTTCGTAGAGATCTTCACTTCATAATGATTAGCTAATTCAGTTATCTGACCAGTTGTCTTTTGTTTGAGCTATTTTGAAGCAATATAGTTTATCAAACTGAATGTGGACATTTGATCAGGGAGGCCAAACTTAAGATCCAGTTCAATTATGAATGCAACTGAGTGGACTGTGACGTCAATACAATCTTAGTTTTGGCTCTTAAATGGTAATAGAACTGACTTAATACAGTAAGTATCAGAACACCTCTCTCATCACAGTGCCAGCAGTGGCTTTTGTGTCCTCAGTTGATCCAACAGTTGTTTCCCCTGACATCTTAGTCAGAATTCAGTCTGGTTGGGGGGAGGGGGGTTCAGTCTTTCATGAAAACAGCAGGAAGTAGATAGTAGATAACACATCGTATGGTAATGGGTCTGATCATATGCACGTGCCTTGTTACAAATATTGGAAAGTGGCATCTTCAACAGTATCTATGCATGTTTCAATTTTAAATAAAAAAGTGCAATTTGGTATTTTTTAAAAATGCAAAATAGAACTTTTCTTCACTTACCTGAATATGTTTGAGGTTATTAATCTCCAACTCCCTATCTCCCCATTTCCACACTGTTTTCAACAAGGTAAAAGGGGATTTATGTCCCTGTTTTAAAAAATCAATACAATTTTTTGCTTTTCAATATTTTATGTTATTTTATTTCATTACAAATCATTGAGGTATCTTGCAGAATGAAAGTTCAAAACCCCCCAACACCCATGAAATTCCATGGATGGCCTTCTTTTTCTCTCCATTTCCTCACAAAACATTGTTTTAAGATCAGATTAGAAAAGTGTCTCATGTATATCGCAATACTGTTCCTTTTTCAATGCCTTATATATGCTTTACATTAGATTAATACAGTGAGTAGTGGTGAAGAGAGCAAGAAAAGGCTTCATTATAAATTAGAGACAAGAGGGCAGACTGCAATCAACTGCAAGCTGCTAGCCTATTCAATCAGTGGTTTATTATTATTATGGTTGCCACAAGGTCAGCCAGATATTTAGAATCGATTTGTCATTTTTATCCAACTATGTTAGAATAAATAATTCTATCTTTCAGATAAAAACAAACAGCCATGTTTTAAATTCCTCAAATGTTCTGGCCATGGTGAAATATGCTTAATTTGAAGAGAAGAATACAACAAGAATTTTATAGCACTTTTCTAATATTTTAAAGATTATCTGTTAGAGGGCAGCAAATTTTTGACTCGGTTGCCATAAAAAGGGTATATTTTAATTGCACATTAGAAACAAATTGTTGTATTAAGAATAGGTAAAAATGAAACAAATGATTTAGAAAATTGATGGTCAGAGACTGAGCAACCTAAAAAGTGCTCGTGTTCTGAATATTTTGGCATGATGCCAGAATTTTTGCTATATACTTTACAGGTATTTCTCTATTTATGGTGCATGCATGTATTATACATAGAGTAATTATTATTCAGTTAGGCATTTCAACCAATCACGCTAAATGGGCACAACAAATACAGATCCCATTGGGAATCTTTTTCATCCTTTCCAGTATGTACCCACAACATAACAGAGAAAATATATAACATAGACAATAGTTTGGCTAAAAAATCACTTGCAAATTTTTGACAAAACTATTTTTTTGTTGTTTGCCCACCATATATTATACGTTTGAAAGTTAGAAGATACCACGTACTGACAAGGCCGTGTACGTGAATATATGTAAAGCTTGTCATACACTGTACCAAATGCAAAAGTTATAAAACAGTCAATTAATCCCTGGAAAATAGACAGTTCAGTAACATAGTGTTTAAGGCAATTATACTTAGATTGGACATAGATGAAAGCAAAACTATAAATGTACATAAAGGCTATAGTCCTTCAAAGTGAACTCTCAAAATATTTTATTAGAACAAAGCTAACAATCACTAGGAGAGTAAAAATATGCAATATCCTGTCACTGGAAGAGTAAAATGCCTGAGAAAGTAAGCAGAATTGGTAAGCATGGATGTCCAGAATTCAGCAATGAGCTATTGGTTGCTCCACTTTCAATAGAAATGTTTATTATTCCAGGACAGGGAAGATAGACATCAGGAGTATCTCAGTTACACATCATTAACTACCATTTGCTACACTGAATTTGTAAAAAATGCTAAGCTTCAACTTTCAAAAACCCAAAGACAGCAAAAGCAGTGCTTCTTCATTCTTTCTAGCTAGTGTCATGCCCAAGATACAGCCTCAGGACAGTGAGTCAGTCATCTAGGATGGCTTTGGATTCAATGTAATGGGTATATCTGCACCTGCTGCCTGGCACAGCTGCTATACAGCTCTCTTCTATGTTGGGTATAGAAATAATGCCAAATGTAGCACAACTGTATTTATTTCAAATACAGAAGCAAGCATATTTTAAGTCAGAAGGTGGCTTGCAGAATTTGCATGACCAATGGCATGCAACAATCATATACTTTTTAAAGAATATTTACTGCCAAAGGGACAGCATGTGCCAGATACTTCTTTCTGTTTATAGCATCAGTTTAGAAAGTAGTGTTCAATATTTGCACAAATGTCAGATCTTCAATTCGTATCAAATGGTAACAGTATCACGACACTGATTTTTATTAATTGAGGACCTTGGACAAATATTTGCAAAGGTAGCAAGTAATCCGTAAGATTCAGAAGAAAGAATCAAAGATATAAACAAGATGAAAGACACGCATATCTAACTACATTTATAGGTTCAGTGTTTCAGAAAAAAATATAGAACTCTTGAAATGAATGATTATGTAAACACACTATTAGCTAAAAGCTATTAGTCTAGGTATGGACTAATTTGTTGATAGAAGCACACATAATGATTGACTACCAGAGAAACTCATTCTTAAAAGGTAGTCAAACAATTTTATTTTTGGTTTATAGTAATCTTGTTTTTTTTTTAAAGGACACTATAGGGCCAGTAGGAGACTACATATCGTAGTTTCAATGCCAAAATGCCACAGAATTTCCTAAAAACTATCACCGTGGTGAAGAAGTACCAGTAATAAAAATTCAGGAAGAAAATGAAGTTTACAAAAAATACAACGGACACATGCTTAATATGAAGGTCCCACACCTAACAAAGCACCAGTATTAGTAATATTAAGATTTCTTCTCCCTTTGCTGATAAAAGAAGATGTGGAAATAAGAGAAAGTCCAAGACCAAACAAGGTCTGATGTAATAGATTTATATCAGAAAAAATAACCATCCTTCCATATTCTGGCATCCCCCATCTTCCTAAAAACTATCCCCTCTCCCTATTTAAGTTAAAGTCTAGGGAAACAGAGATTTAAGGATTGAAGGGTGGGAATAGTTTAAGAATAGCTGATATTCTCAAGAGCAAGTTGTTTCTAATGAAAAAGATGGAGAAAAGGAAAAGGTAAATTTATTATACTACACTTAATTTCTGGCAGTCTTGTCCTCTACCTAAGAGACATCTAGAGATGCTAAAAGCTTCCTTAAGAATTCCCATAGCAACCATTAGGTGATTAGGGTGGCTCATGTCACCATCAAATGATGTTGCTAATTGCAGCCAAATGGGAGTTAAATTTGAGATATGAACAAGTATATATTAGTCGACCGATAGTCAATTCCAAAAATGAAGAATTAACAATTTCTATTACAAAGGATTTAAAGGCAATTACGAGAAACAAAGATTCTGAACAATATCATAAGTTATATTTTTAAAAACATCCATCGGTGTTCTGCATGTTTCTCAGCCGAGTTTAGGCTGTCTTAACTTCAGGTAAATTGAATTAGTCTGCATACTCAAAGAAGTTCATATTGTGAAATGTTTTTAAATAAAACAAAATTTCAAGAAGTTTTGAAACAGATGTCAAATTCTAGAATACCAGAAGTATTCCACTAAAGCTACTTCTGGATGGTCAATATTTGTGTGCAATTTACGGATAGCAAAACTAGCTCACATTGGAAATGATTATCCTTTGTGGTTCAAAATGACCAATGAGGACTTTCTCTTATTTCAATGATTTTTTTAAAAAAAAAACCTTTCCCATATTAGCCATGCAAGGCTGAACAAGACACCTGTGTGCAAACAGTATCTTAAGTTGTAATCAATTATATTTAATGGAAGCAAAAATATGTTTAGAATATGTATACTCTGTAATACAAAATGAGAAATGTAACACACTCCTTCCTGCCGTCAAATGTATTAAAGGTAAAAAAATATTTTGTTTTTATTTTATTTTGTTGCTCAGCCAAGTTACTGTTTGTACAACTATTATAGCTACAAAGTAGACATATTTTCTCACTAAGGCACTTAGATGTCCCAAGTTCTATGGTTCTAATTATTTGGTTTTCTCTAGGTGCTTATTCAACTCTACTGGCTTCATTTTTTTAAAAAAAAAATAGTAAAGTCATCAGTAAAGACATATTGCCATACATCCTAAGATAGGTGACTAATGTGAAAATGTACAGTAGCGTATACTTATACAAAATCCAAATAAAGAAGAGTTTTATTGTAATTATGAACAGTCTGTGTATTTATGACCACAAGAGGACCAATAATTGCAGCTGGAGAAAAGCCTCCCATTTCAGTCACAAAGGGAAGCCAATATGACTGCTGAGCAGTAGCAAAAATGGCAGAGAAGACACATTTCCTGCAGGGGATGAGCAAAGGGACTGCATGTTCTTGATTTGGAGAGGGGGGGGGGGAAGATGGCTTCAATGGGGGTGGGGTTTCCTTATTGCTTATCAACAGCCCCTTGTTCAGCAGAACTTTCCTTGTTGGTGGTCTGTGCATGCCAAGGGGTTTCTTTAAAAACAAACCAGCAATTTCCAGCCCAGAGTATAAAGTTGAAAAAACCAAACAGCTGAGGAAGAAAAGGGAGAAGTGCCATAGTTAATACAAAGCAGTTGCTGAGCACTTATGTAAAGTCAGTTCAGTCCTTTTTAACGCCCTCTTCTTCAGATTTTCACAATGATTAAAGAACAGACTTCCGCTGATTTACACATGTTCATGTGTAAATTGTGTACTGCAGTAGCAATACTTTCTCATATTATATTGGTGAGATCCAAAGTCATATAGGAACAAAATTTTGAAATCTATTACAAAATTATTCTGCCTTGACTGGATATTCTGTCTATTTGTCTGCTCTTTATCCACTGAACAATCAAACCAGTAGTACTGTAACCTAAGTAGAAAATGGTAATGAGAGGAAATGTTAATACTTATATGTGAATTTCAATAATAATGATTGTATTCAGTAGAACATAAAACCCTACCCAGTTTGGGGTCAGGGTATGCTGCTATACAATAAGCAGAGAAAGTCCTCTCTTTTTCTCCTGCCTTGGAGGGTAGTAGTGTATTTTAAATTCTCCAAAGGAATATACGTATTCAGAAGGGTATTAAAAATGTACCTCTTCCAAGTAACTTTTTTTACTGCTGTTTTTATTAGGCATGTTTGTATTGATGGCTAAAATTCTACAATTTTTATTGCCTGACTTTTATTTTAAACACACTGCTGTTTTTCAATATTACCTTTTAAATGTTAAAGTACCATGTTTTAAACTGTAATCTTTTAGATATACGTTCTTATGTTTGCATACTTATGCTGTTCTTTATTCTTCTTTAATCATTATGATTTGCCTTTCTCTTGATTAACAGCTGCTAGTTGAGCAAACTTAAACAAAAGTTTCTGTTCATAAAAACGATGGCGTTTGCTCACCCTCTTTCAATGCATAATTTCAGAGTTACTGCAGAATAAGACTTAACAGACTACCCATTGGTTGTCGGAATGACTTTGATTTAGTAAAAGAAATGGAATGGTACTATATTGACCATAGTGCAGCTAAAGTCCCCATCCTCTCCCTCCCAATCATTACATTACTTCCAGGCAACTCTTACCACAGAGATGTTGGCCAAACCCATAGAAGGAGTGGCCCCAGCATTGCACAATGCATTTTTGAATTGACATACTGACATGGCTGCAATAAGGCTGGAAGGCCGTGTAGCTCCTTTCACGTCTGACAGGCCTTTGCCCCAAGCTGAAAATGCCACTAGCCAAAAGAAGGTAAATGAGACAGACACACAGAAGTCCTGAATGAAGGGGAAAAAGAGAGAGAGAAAGAGAGCGGGAGCCATGTTTAGTATACTCCATGACGGTACCTCCCTTCTGCTATATCCCTTCATCCAAAATACTTATGCCATTTATTTTAATCAGACATGTTTGTTATTTCACACTATTTGTAAGCTAACTATAATCACTCCACCCCATAGCTGCACCTAGTCATAGTATACTTTGCTTGCTGCTGCCTCAGCTATTATTGGTTTATGAATCAACGTGGCTTATTCAACAAATCATGGATAAGCAAATCCAGGCTAAGTACATGAATCAGGTGATAATACTGTTGCATAGGTTGGGTTTTTTTGTGCTAGTACTCCAAGGTCAAGAAAAATACAAAACAAAGAGGGCAGGACTTCCAAACTGGATGCAAGTAGTCCTCACTTAACAACCACAATTGGGACTGAAATCTCAGACATTGAGTTAAGCAGTTGTTAAGCAAATCATCACATGACATAAAGGCCTGGTTTTGTCTGGGGACCAAATCAGGGAGTTCCACACTGGAAGGGATTGATGGCAGATTCTACATCTTCCCTCCCCCTTGTTCTCTGTTTTCCACTCCTCCACCTTTTTGGTTATCATATTAATGTTTTATTCTTGTTGTGTTCCTTTGCCATTGTTTATTTCATAGTTCTATTATTTTACTTGCATTCTGTTTGAACTCCTTTCCTTTTTATTATTGTACACTGCCTCGAGTAACCCCATAGTGAGATAAGCAGCAAATAATAAACAAATAAATAAAATGACTGCTTCATTCAACAATTTTGGCACTCCCAGTTGCAGTAATTAAGCAATCTTATGGTTGTTCAGTGGTCAACGTCCTAGTTAAGGAGCATGGGGTACCTTGGGGCCGTGGGAGACCCTGGGAGATCCATTGTAGGTTCTGCACAAGACAAGTGTCTCTCCACTCAGGAGCTGAAGATCCTCCCTATTGAAATCTAAGCAGGATTTTCAGCCTCTGAGCAGAGAGATATTCATATGCGACCTGCACCAAGCCTCCTGGGCCCTTTCCCCTGCTTCCTGAGGCACTCACCCCTTGCCTTACCATGCTTCCTCTCCAATCAGCACTTGAAAATCCTGCCTGGATTTTGGCTCTTCTCTTGTCTTTGGGGACTGGACGAAAGAGCTCCTTGCTAAAGGATTTCAGCTCCATGCAAGCAGGCATGAAGGATTTCAACTCCGTGCAAGCAGGCAGGCAGGATTTCAACTCTATGCAAGCAGATATGAAGGATTTCAGCTCTGTGAATGCAGGCTCTTTCAGCTAGTCCCCCGAGGGGAGAGGGTGTTTTGGCAGGCAGCAGTAGCTTGAAACCTTTCCTGCTGTCTTCCCCATTGAAGATGGCAAATAGTGAACACATTATTGCATAGCACTTGGCAACTGTGAACGTAAATGTGAATAGGTTGTCAAACAACCAGACTGCAATTATGTGACTCTGACTGTGTGTGTGTGTGTGTGTGTGTGTTTTGATGATTTGCAATGAGGCCAATGTTAATTTCATCCCTGATTAAACAAGGACTACCTGTAAACATATATAGTGGAGTTTTCAACCCTTTTTTTCATATTTCGTATTCAGAAAAAATGTTTTTAATGGCGTTTGCTTTAAATTAATTGCGTTTGTATAGAACTGGTTCTGTGATGCAGGATGTGAAATCTAAATAGCTTGAAAACCAAACTTGAGTTCTTACCGCAAAAGGTAGCTTCTTATTCTCCTTATAGAGGGAGTGAAATCGTAAATATACTGCAAGAGCTGCCATACTATATAGAAAAGCAAAAACTCCCAAGGTCACGAAGAATTCAGCTGGTGCAGAAAAGTCTCCCATGAGATGCAGCACTCTTTTAGCAGTTGATCCTTCGATACAATCTGGCATGTCAAATGGGATTTTATACAACCTGGTCAAATTGAACATGAAAGCAAGAGAAACAGCTTAAATGTAATTTGAGTACTTAGTACAGAAGAATTAGGCTACAGGATATCTCTAGATCTCTAACATCTAGAGATCTGCATGGGGGAAATATATATATTTGCCTCATTTCCACCTTTGTTAAAATATATTTTTCAGCTTTTAAACATTTTTCTTAGAGAAAAAAATGAAAAGTCCAGAGCAGCATTTTTTTTTTGTAAAAAAACCCAGCTGAACAAGAGAGTTTGGCTCCAGATTTTATGAGACAGCCTCATGTTCTATCCAGTCCTGTTTAGTGTATGTCCATCTAAGACTTTATGGTAAATCAAGTTTTCTTGCCAATAACAACACTAATAAAATCCTTTGAAAAATTCTCTCAAACCCTATCACCAATTTTAATGTGAATTAAAAAGTAGCTAAACCTTCTTTGAAATTATCAGAATTAATGAGTTAAAGAGATGATACTTTAAATTTTTCAATTTATATATGGAGAAACCCTTTTGGAGTAAGTAAAGTTATGTAAACATATGTTTAAAACATATTTTTAAAAAGTCAAAAAAATAAAAGTATAAGTTTTATATAGCTAAATCTAGTTTCCCGGTGCATCTTTATAACTTTCTGTATTTGCAAGCTCTCCTTGCTTCCAACACATCCCTGTATCAAATCACGGATTGCCTTATTCTATTTCTGTATTATTTTTAGCATGACTCATATTGAACACACATCTTGGAAAAAATATAAAGGAGAATAATTTATTTGAGATTTACCTGTTACAAACCATAATTTATGGGTTTATTGTAATGATAGTTTAACAACCGACAGTGCATATACAGAATTTCTTACAATGAAGATACATCTATGAGAAAAGAGGTTTATATCCTTGGCAACCGTGGCTAACATAATTCTGAATTCAAGAGACAAAAGGGTCTCAAAGGATGGGGACCGAGGAATCTATCCATCTAAAATGTTTTTCGACCCATTGAGATACTGTATTTTGTTTTGAACTGTCACTGCAAGTATCACAACAACCCTTCCAATGTGTTCCCCTTCTTGTCAAAGGCATTTTAAAATACTTCACAGACATGCCTCTATTTATAGCTATCAGATGTTGGCAGAGAGAGAAAGATGCACACGGATATAACCATGTTAGATCTTTTATGCACTGATTTAATTCCAACTTAGTTCTTGTTTCTGTTCATCCAAAAGCCTTATGGTAGCATCTACATGTAATGTAGAATGTTTTCGTAGTGCTGATTTGTGCTCCAGAAAAATGTAACCTTTTATCTGATCTTACATACCAAAAAGAAGTTAAGAATATTATGCATACTCCAATGCTGCCTCTTGTTTTTGGCAGTGGCACTGATCGTCAAGGCCACCAAATCTTAGATCACTAAGATTTAAATAAAGAACTTTGTTATTGTTAGTTGTGAAGTCCAACCCATCGCGACTCCATGGACAACGTTCCTCCAGGTCTTCCTGTCCTCTACCATCATCTGGAGTCAGTTTAAGCTCATGCCTACTGCTTCAGTGACTCCAATCAGCCACTTCATTCTCTGTTGTCTCCTCCTTCTTTTGCCCTCAATCTTTCCCAGTATTAGGCTCTTCTCCAGTGAGTCCTTCCTTCTCATTAGATGGCCAAAGTATTTGAGTTTCATCTTCAGGATCTGGCCTTCTAAAGAGCAGTCAGGGTTGATCTGGTTTATATGACCCTCAATAAATGACAGCTGTATCAGGTCAGCTGCTGCTTTTAAATTTGTAACAAAAAAAATTCCTTTTCCTCTCAAAGCAAATCAGTTTTCAAAATGCTTTATTGTATTTCTGGCTACACTGCAGTTTCCTACACAACTAGTAACATGCTATAGCAATGCTCATCTGGAAGTGAGGGGAAAGGAGAAAGGGAAACAGGAATTCCGGACTGCTGTACCATAATCATTATTTTAATTTAATTCAGGTGATACAACTTTGTTACACTCTGATTTGCCGGTATTAATCCACAGATGCATGTGCATAAAGTGCATACATTCAGTTGACATCTGCTTAAACTCCTCAATGAAAATTGCTCTCGGGAAGTGGTGCTCTTAAAGTTTTAGATGATATTATTTTTATCCAGCTCTCCACCCTCATATCATTTGAAATACAATTTAATATATTTGAAACCACAGTGGGGGTATGGTGGAAAGGCATGAAACTACTCCTAAACAACATGCTGAAATACAAGTGCAAGGCAGCTGGGCTCTCCACCTGCCCTTCTTGGTGATAATGCCGATCAGGAAGCGAGGTGCCCAGCTGGAAACAGAATTCTCACCTCCTCCTATCTCTAATCAAGATATTTCAGACATGAGCCCCTTTTAAATAGATGCAGTGGTGTAAGCTGGTGGTAACGCTTGTCTTAGTAGGACTCTAGTGAGGATAAACTCCTATTGGAGATTCTGGTGTCTTGGGAGAAGGGAGGGTTCATTTCTAGCTGTCAGAACTGAACAGATATATATATATTTAAAAAGATTTATTTATTTATTTATTTGTTTGTTTGTTTGTTTGTTTGTATGGCACCCTTTTCCCTGGGGGGACTCAGGGCGGCTCACAATCAAAAGGAAGGGGGGGACAGACTTTTACATATAAGACAGTACATAATTAAAACACAACATTCATACCATTCGGGCGGGTTACAATCTTTAGCCCCAGGCCTGACGGGATAGCCAGATTCTAAGGGCTGTGCGGAAGGTCTGGAGGGTGGTGAGGGTACGAAGCTCCATGGGGAGATCGTTCCATTGGGTCGGGGCTACCACCGAGAAGGCTCTCCTCCACGTGGTGGCCAGTTGGCATTGGCCAGCGGATGGAACTCGGAGGAGGCCTAAGCGATGAGATCTAATGGGTCGTGTGGAGGTGATCGGCAGTAGGTGGTCTCTCAAGTACCCACATCCACTACCATGAAGGTCCAATCCAATATACCGCTTCATAGGGCTTTCAGCCCTCTCTAAGCGGTTTACAGAGTCAGCATATTGCCCCCAACAACAATCCGGGTCCTCATTTTACCCACCTCGGAAGGATGGAAGGCTGAGTCAACCCTGAGCTGGTGAGATTTGAACAGCCAAACTGCAGAACTGCAGTCAGCTGAAGTAGCCTGCAGTACTGCATTTAACCACTGCTCCACCTCGGCTCTATATCTCCAAACAAAATAATAAATGGCACACTTCTAGATATTATGGCCCAGAAAATAATACATTTGGGTTAACTTCTTCACCTACAAAGTTTTATGGAAATCACAGTGTCTCCTCTTCCTGCAGGTCAATGCATTTTCTAATTCACTGTTAGTGTTAATGTAACAAGAATTTTCTCGTGGAATAATCCAATATATGGGATGTAGGTTATTTATACTATGTAAGTCATTGAATCTTTTTTTCAACCATCAATGATCCAATAGCCGGTGTGTCTGAACAGTGGATCAGAAGTGGTTTCTATTGTGCCATGCATGCACTAGTTTCTCGAATGAATTATATTCTCCTTCACAAACAGTCTCCAAATCTCTGAACTGGAAAAAAAGAAAAGGGATTCAGAGCTCTATAAAATCTGCCCTGTGCAAACAAGGCATAGTGGGCCTTGGTTCCCGAGTAGTAATACTCTATGTTGCATGACAAATCACTTTGAAAACTAAAAGAATTCTCAAAAGTGATCTTAGAAATTGAGGCATTTAAAAAAACAAATCCAAAAGGAATTTTCTTTTAGCATATCCAAGCTAACATGCTTACGTGAGATTTCTGAATGTAACATCATGCAGAGCAATGTCCAGCCATTGTTGTAATAATGATACAATTCATTCACTGCTTAATTCAATTTATTTTGAATCAGTAGTTAAGAGATTTAAGGCAATTCCAGAGGAATGGTTTAAAAAATAGCCTGCGATATTGAACAATTCTACTTAAAGAATTACTTGTCACTGAAAAAGGTTTAAGGATATCTTCATAAAAAGAACTCTAAGAAATATAAATTAACCATTTCCCCTTTATCAGAGGCTATTACCAACAGTGTTTAGTTTCACATTATATCTTCTATATCTGTCTCAGCTTTTCATTTACCTGAAAGGATATCCAAACTGCACAGTAATAGCAGTTGTCTCCTTGGGAAGCTTAGTGCATTTCACAGTAGCTCCTGTTTCTGCACTAAAAGAACCACAGGTTCCAAAGGCAAAAATGGCAAAGAGCTGAAGAAAAAAGGGGAGAAGAGTTTAGGATTAAATATGTTAACAATCAAGAGGGGAAAAAAACTTATCTAAACAAGACAACATATTTACGAACTCCTGTGAACAATCCCAAGACCATAGAAATTGCATACAACTACCAAGGTTTATAAAAAGTGTTTTAATAAAACCACTTCAATCATCAATGCACATCAACCATTGAAGAAACAATTTGCAAGCAATATACACATTTGATCTTTTTTTTTAAGCTGCATGTTTTCTTGGATAGATTTTAAAAAATCTTGAAAGAAAGAAAAGAAATAGCTTTTGGGAAGCCAATATTACAGAAAAAATATCCTGGTTTATACTCAACTTTTATAAGAGAAGAAACATTAAATTATATTTTTTAAAAAGCAAGATGTCTTTCTTTTTTGCAGGATAGTAAGCAGTATTAGAATTCTTAGTTGTAACTAATAGCTTTAAAAAAAAGCATCTTTCAGAAAAGTAACTGAAATAATTCCATCAGCTTCAATAGAAAACTAAATGGTTTGACTAAAGTCTGCCCCTAAATATGAGACAAACAACAATTATGCCACATATATAAAAAATATTTTGTTTCAATATAAACAAAACATTTAGCCCGGAGCTACATAAAATCAATCCCCACCCAAAAAGTGAAATCCACAGTATAAAAATGTGCTTGAAGCTGATAGACTTACAGATGACTTTTGTAATAGGCAAAGCTCCGCAGGAGTGTCAAACTAGTGTCGTCATATTGTGACTTTTTTCTCCTTCACTAAACTGGGCATGGGCGTGGCCAGTGTGTGACGCATTTGGCTGGTGGACCACGAGTTTGACATCCCTGCTGTAGGAAATCAAGACTAATAAGTATATAAAAGCGGATGCTAGTGTTGGAAGAGACCAAAATCAAATTTCAGTCTGCTCTTGCTACATATAGTCTTCACTTATGACCATATAAGCATTGCCTAGCTTATCTCCCTTTGCATAGATTAGAGAATACAAAAAGTTTCAGGTAATGAAAATTGTCGGTTTTGATTTGGACCATATATAATGACCCACTGGATATCAAGAAAAACTAAATCTAGAGGATTTTTCAAGCACTGTGGTAGATCAGATAAAAGTGAATGGGGGGGGGGGTAGGATTTGGCAGTTGAACAAAAAACTGTTTCATTTACCCATTAGGCTCAACTCTCTCACACATATGCACATATACCAATATGGATCATGCAAGACTTGGTAAGACATCCTTGGTGGGTTCAACTTCGTAACAAAGCAACAACAAAAGAGTCTAAATCAGATACTGGTCCCTGGTTTGGAAGACCCCTTGGCTGAGACTAACAACCAGCAAAACAGGACTAAACAAAATCCAACTATTCAGCTATGATAATGTATGGCTGCACTGTACTCCTTATGGGTTTCCATCAGCTCAGCTAGGAAAACCGATGAAAGCTAGCAGATGTGTTGCTTAAATACCATTATGATAGAGAACTTCAGAATTAGTTGTGCCTATATAAGTGCAAGGAAATGCGAGTGATACAAGAAAGATGATAAAAGAAAGGAGTAAAAGAAAGGCTTTGTCATGATGTTTAGCATCAACTAAAGGTAACAGTTGCAACAATAATATAATATAGTATAATATAATATAATATAATATAATATAATATAATATAATATAATATAATATAATATAATATAATATGCTCATAAAAAGCTACTGTATCTGCCAGGCTCTCATTTTTTTCCTATCCTAATAAACGAGGTAGAGATAATACTTGACTTACAACCACAATTGAGCTCAAAATCTATGTGGCTAAGTGAGGCAGTTATGAAGTGAGTGCTGGGTGATTTTACAATCTTTCTTGCCACAGTTGTAAAGTGATTCACTGCAGTTGTTAAGCTAGTAACCCAGTTAGTAAGTGAATCTGGCTTCCCCATTGATTTTGCTTGGCAGGAGGTTGAAAAAGGTGACCACATAACCCCCAGGACACTGCAAACGTCATAAATATGAATCAATTGCCAAGCATCACATGGGGAGGCTGCAATGGTCGTGAGTTGTAACTTCCAACGGCCGCTAACTGTTGGAAGGACTACCTGTATCTTGATTTAATAAAGCTTATCCAGAAATGTTTACTGGCAGCCAATACTGACTTTGCTTTCATGAGCTCCAGTACTCCATGAAATCTGTAATTACTATCTGCAATTCCAGATTTCAGATAACAGCTAATGACAGCACTCAACACTACTTCTGCACCAGGGGAAAAATCAGGCTCAAACTCTCAGCAGAACTGACTTATCCCAAAGCAACTGTTTAAGTGCTGACTTCTAAGAATTTAGAGCCAACTCTATGTTTTCTATCTACAGTATATAGAAAAAAAGAGAACTAGCATGGTTCTCAAATATTTTGCTAGATGTGAAACATATAATTGAGAAAAAGCTTCTATATGCTGTAGAAAAAAATGCTGTATTCAGAAAATATTATCCATACCCCTGCAAGCAATGTGTGCAGCCACATGTTATGAAAAATACCTCTGTGCACTCAAGAAAATATGAAAAATCTGGTCTTGGCTCTTCAGTAGTTAACGCTTCCCAAGCTAAGACATTATCATTGAATACAATGAACAGATCTGGTAGGACAAAGGAATCTTTTCAAGATACAGTCACTATGACTTTTATGACAAAGGAGGTTTGTCATTAGAACTTTCTTGCTTTTTTAAACATATGCTAATTTTAGCCTATGTTCTAAAATGGAAGCTTCTTGAGAAGATTGATATAATGTCTTATCACAATGCAAAAAAGTGTAAAGAGATCTGAAAATGCTAAGTGAATCTGAAGACCTTGTCAGGCAGAAACACAGCATAATAAAAAAATATGAAGTGTCAATTGCAGACTATGAAAGAACCCTATACACACATTTGAAACAATGAAAGAAGACACAAACAGCTTACTTATATTGCATATCTAAGAAGAAGAATGTCTTGATGTATTATGGAAGGCCACTTGTGCCATTCGTCATTAGACTTTAGAGCTACAGTATTTTCATGATCCAGTGCTTTAACCAATCATTCAATGCACAAAATTGCCATGACCAGAATCTTCATATAGCAATGCAAATATCGCTGTCCTCAAGCCATGCATCACACAAAGAAAAGTCCTTGCCATTTACCAGGGGACCCACTTGCATTATCTTTAAAGTACTTGAGATGTGTTTTCACAGAAGTTTAAACTCATCCATATCTGCTGCGTACTTAGATAGAAGGCTGTTAGCTCAGGTTTTTTCTTTCTTACCACTCAGTTCCTCCCTGATTCTTTTCAGATTCCTGAACGTGTATTGAACACGCTTTGTGCAATTACACAAATTGGAATCATTAACTATATGGTTTTGACAAAATGTATTCTTTTAAGTAATACCACCATTGTCTAAAGATAGAATAAATGGTGGTACAGGACATTACTCAATATCAGTGCTATATTTGGATGTTTATAATATAAATCAGGATTTTGAAAAAAAAAAAAGGAAGTGGTTTTCTCTTTTTTTTAAGAAATAGAAAGTCGATTTGGGTCCTTTAATGCTCATTCAGTTCCCCCCCCCCCTTTAAGTTTTGCATTAAAATGGGAAGAAATCTGAAAATGTTCCTAGCGATTGAATTGAAATTGAAATGCTCCTCTCCTGTGAAAAGACACATAAATACTGCTTTGGAGTGGAGTCTCCTGGCTCTGGGTCTGTGCTGTGGACTAAATAAATCCAGAGTTTATAATCTCCTCTTGGGAAGGCTGAGAAGAGAGGGAATTTGTGAGCTCAGGGACAAGTTAAGGCGTGGTATGTGCAGAATCAGAGCTCCAAAAAGGTTAAACCCGCCTGAGTGAAATGTGAGCACAGCTCGCCACTGTTCCCAATACATACCCCAAGTCCATAAGACTCCTTTGCACATAGAAGGACTGCCCCAGAAGGCACTCCCCTTCAGCTCAAGCGGCTCCTGCACACAACCCAGGTCCAATTTCTCTCCCTTGTGTGGCCCCTTCCCTTGATGAAACTTCACCAAGGCAACAGTTTTAGCACATTGTCATCCTTCCCTTCCAGGTTGGGGACCAGTTGAGGGTGGGGAGGGTGGGGGGGTGAGAGGAGAAGGCAAAAGCGGAAAAGTTGCACACCGAAAGAGCAAACTTACCCACTCCAGCACCTTAATGAATCCCAGGGGCTCCTCCAGGAGGCCCCAACGCAGCCCCCCAAACAGCTGGGCCTGGCAAGGAAAGCAAAAAAGAGGAGGGGGGAGAAACAAGGGCAGGGATTTCAGGTCAGCCAGGAGGGAAAGGGGAGGGAGGAAGAGGGAGAATTAGGAAAGGGCGTCAGAAAATGAGGGGCAGTCAGAGACAGAAAGAAAGAAAGATCAAGAGGCGAGAGGAAACCGTCAGCAAACGGAGCCCTACCACCAAGTTAGAAGACTCCTTGTCCGCCGCCGTGCTTTGGGATCTGGATTCCGACATACTCCGAGGAGAGCTGGTCAAAGGGTCAAGATCGGCTTCCTTGCCTCTCTGGCGAGTGGGCGGGGGAGTGATCCAGGCGAGGAGAGCCCCGGGTGGAGTTGGCGGCGTGAACGGTTGCTCCCTCCTCCACGGACCTGCGGCGAAAAAAGCCCCGTCGGAACTCCTGTCAAACTCGGCAAAAGGAGAAGGAGGCGCGGCAACGCGACGGCCGGCGGGCGGGCTCCTAGGCGGTGCGCTCCTGCCGCCGGCTCCGCCTTCCTTCGAAGGGGTATACGGCACAGGAGTCCGGCGTCTTTTCGCTCTCTGGGGGAAGGCAGGACGCGCCTCGCTCGTTGGGCTGTGGCGGCTAAGGATGTAAGTACGGGGGACTGCGAAGGGAACGTCGGGCTCAAGCATTTTAGTGCGGCGGGGGCGCGCAGAGCTTGGCCAATGCAGTAAGGGGGTGTGGGCAAAGGGCGTTGTTTTCTTTCTTTTCATTCAACTAAACGCATCTTAAGTTCGAAGGGATGCGGACTTCTAAGCGAGTATTTGGCACATTTCGACGCTGCTTGAAAAAAAATCCTCGCAAACACAGATTGGTTGATGGGAAGATGCCTTTCTTCCATTGAATATAAAATAGGAATGCTTGTTCTTTTCTGCCAGGGGTGGAGGAACGCGTATTTAATTTTATTATATTCTTGTGTCCCACCCCAGAAACGGGGAGATCGGATTGTAAACGATTGAGCTTGGATGAATTGGATGAATATTTTACATTGGATTGCAGAGAGTTTCTATTGTAGAAAGGTCCTAATTTAACGGCTGCCTTGTTTAGTGACTGTTCACAGTTATGGTGGTAATGAAAAAATAGCTTTATGACCAATCCTTGCATTTACAACTTTTGCAATTCTGTAAAGCAAAGGAAAGGGCTAGGGTTAGGTTAGGTAAGATCATAAGAACATTTTTATTTTCATTGTGATTGCTTTGCTTAAGGACCAAGTTGCCAGTCACAATTGTAGTTGCTAGATGCAAATACTTGAATGCTGAAACTATGGGACATGTTTTGCAGAGAAGATGCTTTGTGAAAAGTGCTCCCTTTGATTGCAAGGCATCTCATTGCAAGGCATCTCATCAACATAATTTCACTTTGAGAACAGTAAGGGCATGTGACAGGCGCCCTGTACCTTATCTCTGTTATTATATACAGTATGTATAACTAAAATGAATCAGGAGATGTGTACATAGAAGACACCATTAGACCTTTACAGGACATGATTTAGTCTGTAGTAGTTTAGTTTAGTCTCTAAACTTTTGCAATCACAAACTAAGCACCCCTTAAGAATATTACAGATTCATTCTGACAATGCAAAACAATTTATGAAGGCAAATATCTGCAAAGGAATTACATTTGAGGTTTAGATATGGATAGTGAGTGATGTCTTGGTATTTGGTAAAACTTACTTTACATTCAGCCGAATTAATATTATTAATGTGGATATTATTACTTTTTAAACCCCAAATCCTGTTGAAGTTAATAGCAAAATCATTTTTTTTGGTCCAGATCCAGAGATGATGTAGATGGTGCTTTAGAAGAATACAGGATAAGCATGCTTCTTCCCTTTGTTATCCCCACTCCCATCCTATCCACAGTACCTTCACTTTGTAACCTTTTTACTGACAGTGGATGGAATGTTTTTCTGGCATATCAGAGATATTCTGTGGGCTCCATAATAATCCTGATAGGGATGTTTCTACCCAATCTATATAGTTTTCAGCTGGCTCTTGAGATTGCACTTCAGACCTTTTGGCAATTAGCTTCATAATGTCATGAAATCCAACACTTAACAAAGTTTTAAAAACTGTCCCCCAAAACAAAGCAATTTCCTAAAGGTCAGCAGTGGCTCCAAATTATAATCTTCCGTTAAGAAGAAGGTTTCCATTAGGAATGCCTTTGTAAAAGTTAGTCCACAGGAAATTAATATTCAAAGGATAATCCTATCTCAATAAGCAAGATAAATTCAGAGCTCATAAAATACTGGACCTTGTCCATTCAGGCTTTAAACATTAAAACTTGAATTATGTCTGGAAGCTTATTTTTAGCTCATAATATTTACACATGTTATATGCTAAGAGTGTCCTATGCCAGTTAAAAGTCACTTGCTATGTTTTAAACCAGATACTTCCGTTACAATATCATATGCAGGTTCGATATACAATGATATATTTGTGCAATTAATAAGTCCAGAAGAAATATTTCCTTTTTTTAAAAAAAAAGTCTTTGTATTTTCTTTAATTTTGTGCTTAATGTAATGTATGAGCACAGCTAATGTAGAGTTCTTGGTGCTCTCAGAACTTGGTTGTTTGCTTGCAGGTGTTTCATTATCCAAATGCTTACACTGATAATATTATCTAGTTGTGTAATGAAATATTTGCAAATTAGCAACCAAGCTCTGAGAACACCAAGAAGCTCACAGTTCAATCCTGAGCTATACATATTTTCTTCTATTAAAATCATTAAAACTATTAAAACCAATATATTTGAGGTCTACTAAGTTGTGATCGGCTATTATTTTTATTTTTCCAGATATCTCGAAACTGACTAGTAGTGTACTTTTTGGGGTCTGTTTTCTTCTCAGAGGCTGCTTTAAATTATTTATTTTACAGTACTGACACTAGTGATAGTATTTTAGTTTGGTCCTCAAAAGTTATTGTTAGCTATTCTGGGAATGCACTCCAAGAGTAAAATATAAATGCTCTAATTACAATACACAACATAGCATGTGAGCCCCACACACCAGAGGTTATTTTCACACATATTAATCACAGTTAAACTACAATATAAATAGTATGAGATTAAAATATTAAGATAGTGGGAATTAGCTCCACCTATTTTCACATCTGGAAGGACATCTGCATGCTTTCTCTAGTTATCCATATATGGATAATACACCACACATATGGCTTCAAATGCAGTTTCAGAAATCATACACATGGTCCTCGGTGCTAGAAGTTAGCATTCAGCTGTGGGATTCAGGGACATCCAAGTTTATTCCTTAGCCAAGAAAGGTATCAGTACTTCTATGATAGTTCTCCTTTGCTTGGTTTTTTTCTTCGGCTTTAAACAGCTATACAGATAGATAAGAGATTATGAAGTACTGTTTCTATCCCAGGTGATAGAATGAAGGTTATTAATGTGAAACTAGGTAAAATAATTTAAATGAAATTAGAATTCATAAGTATATAGGTTTCCAATGTGCATTTGATCTGCTGTTTGGCTGATACAATGTTATCTGTCTATTAAGAACAGCATCTTTTTCCAGCAAGTCCCATGAGTATTCATAGTTTTGTTTATTTTATCTAAAAACTCATTTTTGATAATAAATTGGTATTCACAAAGTATTTGGGGAAAATAAAATTGCATTTTACTATAAAACGTAAATTATAATGTCTAGATATGCAAGTATAAATTTCAAGCAATTAATGTTTACATTCCCACAATATCTTTGCAAATTTATTCACAGTAATGTTTTGAATCCATTCATTAAAAGAAAAAAATGTATTTAATTGCCTGACCAAAACATTTGTCTAAGAAGAAAACAATGTCTAGAATGCTTTTTAAAAGTCCATATTTTAGCAACATTATTCATCTTTGTAGAGCTTGGTAGATTTTGCAAACTATACCACAATACACCAATTTTTTTTTTTAAATACTGGCAGATAAAATTACTAGTTCTGTTTTGTCATTTATTATAATGCTCGCCAGGCCTGTTTCTAAATGATGTTATTTCTTCCATATTGCTAGCTTATGTCATCCTTTAAAAGAATAGCAATTTCAAAGCAGAATTTTGCCAAGTTTATCTTGATCACTTTCAGAGATTCCTTGTAGCAACAATTATGGATTGTCCTCCCTATTTTTAAGAATCCCACTTTTAAAGTTGTGTTAATAAAAAATAAGGTGTTCAGTTGATGATTATTTTGTGTTACTGTTTAGAATATATTTTATCCAAGCTTTATTCATTAAACAATAAGAATGAATAAGTATTCATTTATAAAATAATAGAAAGTTGTGCGATTTTATCTTTTTAAGTTAGATGATATTAGAAATAGAAAAGGCAGTTTGAACGTTTGCAAGGATGAGGCTGAATTTAGTCATTGCTATAACTTGATGATATGATGACACTGAGTGGGGGGTGGTGACTGAGGGTGTGGGTCATGGTGATTGGTGATGGTAGGTGGGTGTCATCTGGGTGGAGTTGTAGGCAGAGCTGGGTGGGGTAATGGTACATATATATATATATATGTGTGTGTGTGTGTGTGTGTGTGTGTGTGTGTGTGTGTGTGTGTGATGATGATGTTAACTTGGTTAGAACTGACTTGGATTTGATTGTCTTTGTATCATTGGCATTTAGTGCTGGTTATCACGTAGTTTCTTGGATAGAGATAAAAGTTTTTCACCAAACAAACTGAATCTCTGTTTGTATGCAATGTGAACGACGGAACGTGACAGTATATAATACAATGAAGAATGCAAATGATCAAGTGGTAATAACCACACTTGAAATGGTAATCTGAAACTATTCCAAGGTCACTCCTCCTGGCCATATATCCTGGTTTGACCAGGATTGCCTGATTGTGTGCTTTATTGCAGGCATTAAAAAAAACAAAAACCTCCTGACAAATAGGACTGTGTAGCTCATCAGTGGGCATGATGGATTTATCCCATCTGTCATAACTTGCTTCCCCTTTGCCTGTGCAATTTAGCAGCAGGCTCAGTCAAAGGGTGAGGGAGTTTAAATGCATGTGTCCCCCTTTTTAGAGAAGCATGGATTAATGGTCTACCCAAACATGTCCCTTCACTGTACAGACACAGTGAGGTAAGCTTTGAAACAGTACTAAGAGCTACAGTCCCTGGCTGCTGATCATGACCTTTTATCCTGGTTTGTCAGCTTGAAAATATGGTAAGCCTAACTGTTACCCAAATTGAATATTTTATTTGTCACACAAGCTCAGGCCTTGTTTGCTTTATTCCCAGACTTTCCTTGAGCCCATTCTTACAAACTCACAATTACTTTATTTTAGGCATTATGAAGGCTTTCCTATCTTCTTGTGAGGATCTGTAGGTTCTTCCTCATCCAGAAGGATCATCTATCCTCACCAAAAGGCCAAAGCCACCCTGCATCTAAGGGATTCTTCCTGAGTTAGGACCAACACTTTTGTGAAGTGAAAAACCCAAACCA